TACGTATGAGTAACAAATACTGTCATGTTACAAACTTCGAAAATTATTACCGCGGTCTGTTGGAAAGAAAAATTGTGGTTTACGAGACGCATCTAAGATTTCTTGCATATGGGTGCACCACTAAAGAAAGGAGAAAAAAAATATTAAATGAGAATTAATTTTTATTTTTTTAGTAAATAACTCAGTATTTACAAGTTTTCCAAGTATACGATTTTCCTAGAGTTAAGAAAAATGTCTGTGGTGTGCACACCAATCGAGTCGAATACGCATCAGCTGCCAATAAGATACACTCTTCCAAGAATGTATACTTATCAGCCACCAATTGGTTGCAGCAGAACTTCTGCAATATCGGTGCTACGTCGCCGCCGTGCACGACCACTAAAATTTGCAGCAAATTGATTTTTTGTTTAGCTTTTTCCATTAGGCAACAAGTTCCAATAATTCGACTTAATTCGGTTGTGGTTTTCGGATATAGGGTTAAAATGAAGTATTGGAACGTCTGTCTAAGCTAAAAAGCAACTGTAGTTTCTAATTATGTATGTATATTCAGCCATTATTCTATTTTATGAATAACTTACAATTGATTCGACTGTCCTTTCAATATACCACCACCTAGCCTATAATACACGGAACTCGGACTTCATATAAAGTTGACTTGAAAAAAATGAACCACAATAAGAAACCGAGCTTCTTTTTCAATGCACAATACTTGTTTTCCTGGTCAGAGTAACAAAGTGCACTAATATGGAATACCCCAAAGATCCCTATAGACAACACGTATATCCGATCTCCAGAATACTTAGTTTTAAATGTGAACCGTAGGAACCGAGTTCCAAAAGCAAGCATCCAGGAAACATTCTGGAGCATCAAAACACATCAACTTATTGAGAAGGCACAACCTACAATAGAATCAGAAAACAAGTACCACAGCTTAGGCAGACAAGAAGCGGCTCATCCATGACCGGAAGCGGGTCCAAGCTTGCTCGACAGCAGCATCTTCTACATCAGGCATCCCCATTTTCTTCCTCCTCTCAACACCCTCCGGCGACTTGTTCATGAATGCATGTCCAGTCTGTGGATAGAAGTAAACCTCATGTGGAACTCCTGATGTCTTCAGTTTTTCCTCTAGAGCTTTCCCAGTCTAGAAATCATATCAAAGATAAGTTAAATTTACAAATTGTACTCGCATTCACATGAACTGTATGTATATTTGCTGTCCAAATTACATATCGTCATTAAATGAGGAAAGATAAGTGTTCAGCTCAAGATGGTCAATACCACGTTCAGTGACCAGCTAAACTACAGTAGATAACATCCAACTGGAGTTAAAACCAGAATGACCCTAATATTGCAACACATCTGTACTCACGCTCAACCAGACCCCACTTTGTGGGACTATACTGGGTAGTTGTTGTTGTTGTATCTGTACTCACGCACAAGAGCTCATTGCTCTAGCTATCTAAGAAGTAAGAACTAACTCAGGAAGGAAACCCTCTCATTTGTTTATGTGTTCTTCGATTTTTCATATCTTTCCTTTTCTTATGTGTTCTCCTATTTTTCATATCATTCCTTTTTTACATCAATCAATGAGAATACACTATTCTTTAAACCCAAAAGAAATTAATCTGATATACTGGAACCTCGTTTAAGTTTTCCTGTTTACTTCTGTCTTAAACCCTCTTTTTTTGTGGGTCTTGGAGAACCTACATGAAATCAAAAGCAACTCACAACTCTCTGATGATAATAGAAAAAAGGCCATAATACTCGCATAGATGTCTGTATCAACATAGTGGTGCAATAACATGAGTAATGATAGACAACCATGCCTTTAGCCGCCAACCCCTCCCAATATCCCATAAATAGTTGCAATAACCATGCACCATGGTAAGCGCAACGCCAAACAGGACCATAGAAAGCAGGATAGACTAAATTAGTAAATAGTTGAAGAAATTAACTGATTGTTCAAAACTCACTATGACACAGTATAATAATGCTTCATGATCATGACATGAAAACAGGATCATGCAGATAATAGAAGCCAAAGAGGCAACAAGCCAACAACCACAGTAAGCTTTAAAGAAGAAACTGTTTTTAGTTGGATATACCTTTACATCTGAAAATCCAACAAAACCATCATCTTCCCCAAAATGTGCCTGCACAGGTGCCTTAGCATTAATAGGATCAGCAAGTTCTGGTGAAGGAACTCCATAGAAGGCTACAACTGCATCGACACCTGGGACCAGAACAGAACTTGCAATGGCAAGAGCACCACCCATGCAGTATCCAGTAACACCAACCTAATACACATATTTGTAAATCATAAGCACTCACATGACAAAAACAGTTAAACAATGTTGATAACTCTATCAATCTACAGAACTCATCAAACGTATAATCAGGTAAAAGAATTAGAAGCACCACTTGCTGAATTCCACACAATGCATGCTATAAAGTAAGCAGTTCGATGAAAACCAACAAGACAGAGTATGCTTAAGAACTTAAGGAAAACCCCAGGAAACAAAAAAAATGGTTTACAACATATCATGCTTAAAATTATAGCATGATTTGGCAAATCAGTGCATCATTTGGCAAGCTTTTTGGTATGCACGGACTTAAGAAAAGAACAGAGGAAGGGAGAAAAGTGGAAAAGAGAAGAGCGTTGACTTCACATCTTTGGTTAGATAAGGGGACAAAAATTACTAGGGATATTTAACGTAAATACTACTAGAACTATTTTATATTTTCATAATGCATGTCACTACTTTGGCAATAAGGAATCTCCTTTTCCTCCAAGAAGCTACTTATTGTCTCTTACGACAACATAACCTCCAATTAATTTCACTAAAATGAAGAATGTTCTATAGCTATATCATAAGGAAAAAAGTCAGTTTATGTGTCAAACACTCTTGGTTCTTCGTGAAAGACACCACTACAAGATTGCCTCACTTTATTATCTAACAAAAGCTAATACATGGTTGAACATGGAGGTCTAAGCTGACCATGTTACTCATCAGAGATGATGAGTGGACTAGCTTTGAAATATTTCATTTTAGCAGTTTAATATGTTGTCAATTAGCGACCAATTGACACTTAGCAACCAGCTAGACTTTTTGAAGATTGTCGCTGAAGGAGGGTCATTCAGCATATTCTGGGGTAGGAGAGCACAAGAGAAACTAGAAGAGAGGGATTGACATGCTTGAGAGAGATTGATGGTATGAGAGAAACAAGGGTTAAACATGAAAATGGAAGCTTGCGAAAGAGAGATAATAATATTTGGTGGTTTTCATTGAAAATAAACAAGGAAAGGTTTCAGTGGTTACTTGGCAGACTCCTTCAAGCTCCCAACTCAGATTGATTCCTCAGTGAGAATTTTGATCAATTTGGCAAGTTTCTTTATAAAGTATGCTCTTTCAAATATAGTTAGGAAGCAAAGTCGTACTGCCATTTGAAATTTGGTAGGCATAATTTAGGATTAAAGGTGAACAGAGTAAAATAGGTTGTATGTAATTGCTGAGCTTCATTCACCAAACGGAAATGGAGGACAAATTATAAAATATCCCCAGAAAATATTCTAATTACCTTGAGATAGGTCAAAAGGAATGACACAATTCACTTTGGACGAAGAGTATATCGAACTCAGTAATCCAAACTCCAAAGTATAGAGGCATTCAAACTATGTTGCAGGAGAACTAAACTGCTTACCTAGAAACAACTGAAATTAAGTTTCACAGGGAAACATCTAAATATATGGTCAAATAAGTCATATCTTCTTTGCTTTTAAGTAACTATAGGTTGTTTCCTTGTTAATGTTCAAGGATTAAAGAGAGTGGAATAAGGAGAAGATTTTAAACATAAGAACTAGTTGAGGAATTACACTGGCAGAACCTGTGTGTACCAACATCAAATCACATCAATTAACAATACTTATTTCCTTATTCTTTTTTTGACAAAATTCCAATTGGAGGTGCAATCAGATAAGTTGCCAGCACATAGCTAGCTACCATTTATAAGAAGGGACAAATTGTGAACTTCAACCGTGTATAATAAAGGAGTACTATCCTGTATCAAAAAGAATTATCAACACCACGCACAGATGCAACTTTAAACTTATAGTCCAGCTACTCCAGACAATATTACTGTCTCTAAATGGTGTCCATCTAATTAGTCAAACTTTACACTCTAAAACATTCACAGCTCTCGACATCTGAGAAACTAAACAGGTGCATGAACCAATAGCTTCATGTCAGACCATCTTGGTTGACAACATTTGACTGTAGAATAAACACCTAGTACCTTGTTGGAACCGTTTGACTTAAGCCAGTTAACTGAAGCCTGAATATCTTTGACAGCGCCTTGCCAATCAAGACCATCCATCAGATGTTGTGCTTCTGCAACATCTAACCCAACTTTTCCATGGTACAAACTGAAATCGCATAAAAAAGAAAAATAAAAAAAATTCACATTAACCATCAGCTACAATGTGATATGACATTCATCAAGTGAAAGTTCATGTGCAAGAAAAGGAGTCTTACTCAGGGATAAGTGCCTTGTAACCAGAATCAAATTGAGAAATTTTCTGAGCATGGTTTTTAATCTCAAAATCAACACCCCACCACTCCTGAAGCACAACGATTCCAGGGGCATCATCCTTTCCGATTACATATGCATCAAATGTCTGCATGATAAGATCACTCAAATGAATCAGCAATAAGAAGAAAGAATATTTTCCACTCTACAGGCCAGGCTAAGAAACAAATCTCGTCTCCAGTTCAGGCCTTCTAGTAAGTGAAAATCAAGTGAGATAAAGATATAGCAGGTCAGAACAAAGAGACATCAAAGACATCTCGAATATCATTACACAGATGAGCTCTTTTTTTTAAATAACTATGGTGTCAGGGACAACTTGTGCTCACCGCGACTAAATCGACCAGATACCTGCTACCTCCCACCAGGCTAGTACCAGCTAACTCTACCCACCAAGGCCCGAGCAAATGGGAAGAAATCACCTATTGCTTTTTGCCTCGCTGGACTTTGANGAACAACACAAAATTGAACTCGAAAATGACACCCAAATATCTTCTGAACTTTCACAGACCAACACTCAACCAAACCAGCTTATCTAAACCCAAACTCAACTCGAAATCAACCAGAAACTCTTCTGAAACTGCAAATTACCAGGAACGGAACTAGGAAATGCAAATCAGCTACTAAAACTAGAGATTAGCTAGGAAATTGAATAAAACAGTATATTTTTGGATTTATCTACTGGATTTGTTTGTTTTTGGTTTTTTTTAGGAACTAAGATCTAGAAGAAGGTTTTGAACTTCTATTAACTTGCAATTCAAATTTTAGGTTCAGATCTGCAGAGAGGTTTTTGGGGCTCCAAAAAACTTCTTCATCAAGGCATTTTGATGCCCTTTTATAGGTTAGTTGCAGAGTCAGCCATAGCGCGAACCTGAAAGCCAGAAGCGGAGAGACAAGGCGAGAGTGTTCGAGCTACAGAGAAAACTGGTGAAGTAGTATGTGTAGGTTTGACTATGAGAAGGCTACCTGCGAATATTCTAGAACAAGTCGATATCATGGCTTCCACCAATATGGTCAAGTTAGAACACGTTAAGTTGGGAATGAAGTAGAGTTTTTGACAAATATTGTCTCTTATCTTTGAGGCTAGGTCTATTTTAGTCCCTTAAATATGACCCTCAGCATATTTAGTCCTTTAAGTATGCTAAAGTGGAG